ATCCCTTATCAGAGATGTTTCCAAGAGAATGCAGAGTAGTGAAGCGCCGGGACACTCTGGAATTTTATTTGCTGGTTGTGGCTGTGGTTGATGAAACCTGACCTCTCTCTGTTGCAATTTTCTTCACAGATTTGGCACAAAAGGCTGCATCTGCTTCCTCTGAACCCAAAACAGCTCTGGGACTGAATCTCTGAAGACCCAACAGAATCCTGTTGCTGCTGTTTGGGAAGTTGTCTTAAGGTTCCTTAACTCATGACTAGAACTTCTAAGGAGAGGGCTCACTCTCTCTTCCTCTCCATGGATATCACTTTGCTCAGCAACAGGATCTCCTGCCATGACAATCCACTCTGGAACTGGCCCCAGCTGGTGTTTGTCATCTCTGTGCCAACATCTGCACTGGTCTCAATCCGACTGGTGACCCCAAGTCGCTCTGACATCCAGTCTTCCCTCCTGGGAATACAATTCCAGTGAAGATAAAACTCCTCTGTGTCCATAACAGTGCTCATTTTTCTTTTACTTTTTTTCTTTTATTTTATTTTTATTTTTCTTCCTTTGCTGTGGCTGATGTTGAGGTTCTGAGTTGCAGCAGTGTTGCAGTTGCTCAACATTTGGCTGTTTTGTGTGGTGGTTTGGAACACTTGGCACATAAATCCTGACCTTGACGTACCTGCAACGAGCTTAGAACACCTGGTGATAGTTCTCCCCCTCCCTGTGTGTATCTTTGCACGGTCGTGGACAACTAAACACTATAACTGTTACATTTGTAGGAGATTTGGGTGCTGCTCCTCCTGGAGGGCAGCAATTGCAAGCACAAGACAAAAGAATTCCTCTTTTCTGTAACGACATTAAGGCCTTAAAAGGGAGACCTGCAAAAGATTCCAGTGAAGGAGTTTCAGGCTCTGTCAAAGGCTGGGGGTTACTGCTCATCCAACTTTCTGCTTGCTCTTACTTGAAATTCGAGCTGTTTTTTGTATCTCCCCTGTTAGCAAAACTCCTTGGGAGCTGCAGGGGGGCTGTGCTTGGGGTTCTCACGGAGTGATTTGGGAGCAGGGATGCACTGTTCCCCCCCTGGGAGAGCACAGCTTCGTGGAACAGCCTTGCCTTTGCCTTCAGCCTCGCTATTGCAATCCCACAAGGTTCTCTGTTGCCAGAAAGCCCCAACCCAAAACTCTCTGAATGTTTTTGATGCACAAAACCCCCCACCCCGAGCACACCAACTGCAGCTGGTTTGGGGGCTGCGAAACCCCTCCTCTTTTGCAGGTCACTTTTTTGTCCCTCGTGTGTGCACGTGGAAGAGCAGGAATCCTGATCCCTGAACAGCTGAACTTCCAGGAGGGGGAATGTGCTCTTCCCTGGGCTCTCTGTGTGTGTGGCAGGGGAGGGACTGGCTGCTTGCTCAAGGGACAGCCAGCCCTCCTCTCCCTGCACCTCTCCCTGACTCGGAATGTATCCCCATCGCCACTCCCACGCTGCCTCTTGTCCCGGGCTCCGTGTCCTGAGCCCTGGGGATGGCAGCCTGGGGGGGGAAATGGGAACTAGGGCTGGAATTCCCACATCCCTTCAGTTATTTATTGGCCACCCAGCTTCAGCCCCAGAGGACAGGGATGGAGGTGGCAGGTGTCCCCAGGGTGCTCCCTTGGCTGGGGCTCCGATGTCACTTTGTTCACGAGTGCAGGCTCTGCCAGGGAAGGTGTCCTGGATCCAGCTCACAGTTCACCCAGGCTGTACATGGAATTATGTAAAATGACTTGAAACTCTGTATTCCTTTCCTTTGGAAGTAAACAGGAGAAAAACCTCTGTGTTTCTGCCTACTTGTAAATAAAGGGGAGGGGAGGAACCAGAGTGCCAGTGGGGCCCTCTTTGCTTCCCTGTTCCCTCTGTGCTTTCCCTGTTCCAGCTGTGCTGCTGCACCTGTAAAACCAAATTACTCCTCCTTCCCTCCGACACCACAATTCCTGAAGGAAGCTTGGAATTTCCAGGCTGTTAATCCTGTTTCCTCTGGCTCAGCTTTGACCTGAGCTGGCATGTTGGGCTCTCAAGATCTCCCATGGTTTGTTTTTTTTTTTACAGGCCTCGGGTCTGGCTTCAGACCTGGAGCTTTGCTTTTAAAATCCCTCATTTCTCCCCTGCTCTCAGGACTTGTCCCTTCTCTGCCAGTCCAAAGGCATTCCTGCAGGAATAACCACTCTCCTGGGATTCTGTGGTGCATCTGCCTGTGCCTGCCATGCTGGAAGAGGCATTTAGGAGTTAAACCCGAGCAGCTGCTGCTTGATTTCAAGTGGCTGGTTAATTTTCTTCCTTTGATGCAAAGTGGGATGTAATCAAGATGGCTGAATGGAGAATTTTAAATGTATTTTGGTGAGACAGCAGGGGAAGGAAATCGAGGGCAGCGTCGTGCTGGGTGAGGAAATTAAATATAAAAACCTAGAGCTGAATTGCCACCAAACTGGAATATTATCATATTGGAGTGCTGTTTAAAATAGTACTTAACTTGAGTCTTAGAAAAAAAAAATAGCTGCTTAGGGAAGGAAATGTAGCAACTGTTTATTATGATATAAAGCAGTGAACAGTTTTATCTGTAGAGAAGATTTGATCCTGCAGGCAGAGGAGTTGTCTGTGAACACGAGCCTGTGTTTGTTTGCCTGTGACAGCAGAATTAGCAGTGATTTCTGCATTAGGTGCACTCCAAGATGCTCAGGAATTGGGTTAATAAATTGGATCCCTTCCCATCCCACCTTCCCCCACCAGCCCAGCTCTGGAATTCTGCTCCAGCCCAAGTTGTGTGTGAGGGCCTTCCTTAGATGGGCGGCCTCACGTTGTGCCAGGGGAGGTTTAGATTGGATAATCCATGGAAAGGGTTGGATGTGGCACTTGGGGACATGATTTAGTGGTGGCCTTGGCAGTGCTGAGTTCACAGTTGGACCTGATGGTCCTGAAGGTGTTTCCCAACCTTTAGCAGTGTTACGGTTCTATATTTGGGAGCTCCTAAGGAGGAGGAGCTTCCTCCTTGTGTCTCGAGGAATGATTTCCTGGAATGCCTCCTGGCTTCCCAGGTGCCAACTAAATGTGCCAGGAGCTCCCACTCCAAACCTCTGCTGTGTGCCAGGTCAGCTGCCTTGGCTGCTGGCTTGGAGAGCACTGGGAGTGCCCTGTTACTTGTGCCTCCTACCCTGGAGATCCCAAAAATCGTTGTGCCCAGTGCAGGGATTAGGAGGAAAATGCCCTTTGGGGCCCAGAGGACAGTGCATCCCTGGGGGTTGGTGCAGGCATGGAATCATGGAATAGCCTGAGCTGGAAGGGACCCACAAGGATCATTGATCCAACAATCCCAGCCTGTCCCTGAGAGGATCATCCAACCCTCCTGGAGCTCTGGCAGCTTTGGAGCCGTGACCAAACCCTGGGGAGCCTGTTCAGTGCCCGGCCACCCTCTGGGGGGGAATCTCTCCCTGAGATCCAACCCGACCCTGCCCTGACACAGCTCCGTGCCTGTTCCGACGAAACGCTCGGGAGGAATTCCGCCCCAGAATTCCCACGGGAAGGCGCTGATCCATGAGCCGGCTCCTGGTGCCACCTAGCCGCTCTGCCCGGGATCGGCCCCTTTGGCAGGCGCGGGCTGCAGACGGTGGAACTAATGAGGCTTAATTAAACAAAACCCCGGCGAGTAAATGCCGTGACGTGCTGGCAGCGAGCGCCGCGGACACCCGAGCGCCGTGTTTGCTTTGGGAGCGAGCTGGGGGGGCTGCGTCTTCCAGGGAATAATCGCGCCCTTGTTTGGGAATCGCTCCTGGGCAGCTCCTGCTCCCTCCGGGCTCGTGCAGACTCCAGGGTCGAGGGGTCAGGGGATGGAATCCAAGTGCAGCAGAGCTGCCTGAGTGTGGTTTGGCCGCTGCTCCCTCCGGGAGCGCGGGAGGGACAGGCAGATGCCCAGGGCATCGACTGGGCACGGCCACGCTGGGAGGGAATTACTGAATGAGGAGGGGAATCAATGCTGAGCTGCCTCCCTGCCTGTCCAGGGTCATCTGCAAACCTTGGGCTGCCCCTTCCCACCTTGGCCAGGTCACCAGCGAGGCTTCTCTCGGCAGCAGGTCCCCGTTTAAGCAGCTCTCACAGAGCCAGCACTCAAGGGAGTGCCTCAGGAAGGACATTTCTTGATCAAAGGACATTTCTTGATCAAATGAGCCCTTTCTCCTGCAGAGCAGCTTTAGCTACAAAGTGCTTGGTTCCAGGGCTAAACTGTGCCTTACTAGGTCCCACCTGGCTCCTAATCCTGTGGTTTTCCTCCTAAGGCAAGAAAGGAGAGTCTTGCAGAGCCCTTGGCCTGTGCAGTGATTTTAGGTGCCTTTTATTCAGAGATCACTCCAAATTTCTGTGCTGATTTGCACTGATGATCCTCAAATCCCTCTTGAATGTCATTTTACCCCTTCAATCATCTGGTCTCATTCCCAGGCAACTCTCCCTGTCCACCACGGGTTCTCCGGAGCTCACAGGGACAGAGACACATCCCACCTGAGCGAAATCCAGAGGCAATTAAGCACCAGAGGGAAGAGCAGCCGGGTCTGTGAGCAGGGAGGGTCCATCTGCACGAGCAGAGAGAGCTCAGATTCCCTCTGGCTTCTGGCAGCAAGTCCCAGCCTGGCCACGGAAGGGCTGGGATTCTGCAGCAGGCACAGGATCACCAGGAGATGAAGAGGAGCTGAGAGGGAGGAAGGTTTGCAGCAGAGCCTTTCCAGCTCCCAGAGGTGAGTGCCAGCTCCCTGGGAGCAGCAGGGAAAGGAGAGAGCGGGCTGGGAGGCAAGAGGGAAAATCCGAACGCCACGCTGGCAGCAGGAGACCTGGGAAGGAGTGAGAGCTTCCAACGCTTCTCCCTGAGCTGGGTGTGAGAGCTGGAGTGCAGCTGGTGCTTCTGAGATGTCCGTGGAGCAGTAAGAATGGGGTTTGGATGCTGGTGGGGACCTGCAACAGCTGTGGAGCCTCTCTAGGGACTGGGAAAAAAGGTACCCATGGATGGGTTTTACTCCTCGGTGGGAGGAGAGGGGCAGGACGTGACCAATGACACCAGCTGGGCAGAGGAAAGCAGCTCCAAGCTGTCCTTCCGTGTGGTGACAGCTGCCTTACTCCTCCTCCTCATCCTCTCCACGCTCCTGGGGAACACCCTGGTGTGTGTGGCCGTGCTCAAGTTCAGGCACCTGCGCTCCAAGGTCACCAATTCCTTCGTCGTCTCCCTGGCAGTGTCCGACCTGCTCGTGGCTGTGCTGGTGATGCCCTGGAGGGCTGCCACCGACCTGGTGGGGTTCTGGCCCTTTGGGGGGGCTTTCTGTGATGTGTGGGTGGCCTTTGACATCATGTGCTCCACAGCCTCCATCCTCAACCTGTGCATCATCAGCGTGGAGCGCTACTGGGCCATTTCCAGCCCCTTCCGCTACGAGGGGAGGATGACGCAGCGCGTGGCCTTCGTCATGATCGGGGTGGCTTGGCTGCTGTCCCTCCTCATCTCCTTCATCCCCGTGCAGCTCCAGTGGCACAGGGACCACAGGCTCCTCGGCCAACAGCAGCCAGGCTTTAACATCTCCAGGGAGGAGGAGAGCTGTGATTCCAGGCTCAACAGGACCTACGCCATCTCCTCGTCCCTCTTCAGCTTCTACATCCCCGTTGCCGTCATGCTGGTGACCTACACCCGCATCTTCTGCATCGCCCGGCGCCAGATCCGCAGGATCTCCTCCCTGGAGAGGGCCAGGGGGCACACCCAGAGCTGCCACAGCCCTCGGGAAGCCTCCCTGAAGAGCTCCTTCAAGAAGGAGACCAAGGTCCTCAAGACCCTCTCCGTCATCATGGGCGTCTTTGTCTGCTGCTGGCTGCCCTTCTTCGTGCTCAACTGCGTGGTGCCCTTCTGCGAGCCTGGAGAGCCTCCTTGCGTGGGCCAGAGCGTCTTCAACACCTTTGTCTGGCTTGGGTGGGCCAACTCCTCCCTCAACCCCATCATCTACGCCTTCAACGCGGATTTCCGCAGGGCTTTCGCCGCCCTCCTGGGCTGCGGCTGCCCCGGCAGCGCCGTGGAGAGGCTGAGCCTCAGCAACGAGCTGGCGTCCTACCAGCACGACACCGCCTTCCAGAGGGAGCTGGCGACCCTCAGCTACCCCCAGCATCTCCCCCACGCCGTTCTGAGGGTGGAAGACACCGAGGGCTCCTCGGAGAAGGTTCCCCAGGTCTCCTCACCCTCCGGTGATGCCTCTCCGGTGGTGACACCCGTGGGGGGTGACGTGGCCATCTCGCTGGTGAAGGTCCCACCTCTCACCAGCAACGCCTTCCACTGAGACCTGGGAAAGGGAGGAGGGCGGTGGGATGGTCTCCACTTCCCCAGGGGGCCGTGCAGGAAGGAGGGGATGGATTTGCCCGGATAACTCCCTTTGGCTCATCTCTGACTGCGCCTGTTGCTCAAGGCAGATTCTCCTGCAGGCCTGGACAGGCACTTTCCCTGGAGCCCCTGGGCTGTGCTTGGGAGCAGCTTGTCTGTGTTGCAGGATGGATTTGGCAGGACAAGGGTCTGCTCTGGCCATGGAGTGGGAATCAGCCTCTCTGAGCTGGGGCATGCACAGCTGGGGGCAGCCTGGGGTGGACATGAACTGTGTTTTATTCCCTGGATGTTGGGCTGTTCGCTCGGAGCCTTTGGGAACGAGGGAGTCTGAGCCTTGCAGATGTTAAAGCGAGAACCCCACTGTGGTCGCTGTGCCTCCACCACACCTTCCATCAGCCAGATCCTCCTTTTCCTAGACTGTTTCATCCCCCCTGTGCTTTATTCTCCCTCTGATTCCCTTCCTCCCTCATTTCATTAAGGATCCATCCGCTCAGCCTCCCTTGCTGCCTCATTTCAATAACAAAGGCTCCTTACAAGCCCTCCTTGCTCCCCTGTGCTCCCTAATCAGCCTCTGGGAGCTCGTGTCTGATAACCGGGGGCAGGAACAGCCCCAGCATTTCATTCCGGCTGTGACAGGTGACTTTGGGAAGGTGTTTTGATCCATGCCTGGTTAAACCCTCCCAGTCGTCTTGGATCCGAGACATCTTTTAGCTCCCTGGCGCGGCAGAAAAGCCTCTCCCCCTCCCCAGGAAACGGGAACAAAGGGGAAAATCAGAAAGTGATAATTACAGAGTCACGGTAATTGTTAAATAGAGCCCAGCCACAGCGTGAGCGGCGTGGGAGGGGAGCGGAGCTCACAGGCAGCTCCGAGGTCGGAGCTTGGATTCTCCTAGGGAAGCACTGGAAAGGCTCAAGTCCGTGTACAACCACTGTCAAAATGAGACCGTCCCGGGGCTTCTCAATCTGAATTAGAGAAGGAATTGTTGGCCTGAGGTGGGGACGATCGTCTGGAAATCCTCAAATGGCTGATTTAGTTTGGGCATTGCTGTAATATTTATAATTTCCCACACTAAAAGCAGAGTGTTGTGTGGTACCTGGGGACTCCTGGCTTGGTGGCAAGAGGGAATTGGAGTGCCCAGCTATTCCCAAGGCACTACTGTGCCTGTTTTGGAAGAGTTTACTGATGCCTGTGGCAAAGTTCTGGGCCTTAATCCGTGACTGCATGTAAAGGGACTGGGGAAAAACAAAGAGCTCGATGCGTCTCTCTTGTCTCTCGTGAGTTGCAGGTGAACCTGCAAAGGAAAAAATCCCTTTCTTTTGTCCAGTTATTGTCTGTATTTAACTACTGTTACCTTTACCTGCCCCTCTCACCTGTGGCTTGGCAGCTCACCAGGCTGCTGGCACCTTCCTGGCACCAAAGGAGAGACAAGGTGGTGGCAAAGCTAAGCCAAAAACTTCCAGGTTATGGAAGAAGTTACAGACATTCCTGTGGCCAGACTGGGAAACAACAGCTCCAGACTGGTGGGACTGGGGCAAAGACACCCCTCGTTTATCTGGCTTTAGAATGGGGCTCTTTTTTCCCTGCTGATTTCCTGCACAGGTCTCCTCTGCAGTTCCACTCTTCTTCCTCCTCCTCCTCCTCCTCCTCCTTCCATCCCTACCTGTGTTGCAGAGGTGAGTGAAGTTATTCCTACCTGGGGCTGATCCTGGAGCAGGGATTGAGTCAGGACTCGTGCCTGTTGTTGCTATCCCTGTTCCTGCCCTGTAATCCCAGGGAAACCAGGTCGCTTCCTGGAGCTCTGGATTTGCCACGGGTGAACTGGGGACAGGTAGTGAAGACAGGTAGGGGTTTTTTTTTTCGGGCAGGGAGCAGAGGAGCCTGAGTAACGTGGTATTTGCAAAAGAAAGGGGGGAAAGCATCAAATCCACATGGAAGTCAGCAGATGGGGGTGGGGGGAGAGGATGATCTTCGAGGTCTGGGGGGCCGGCAGGCAGGGAGGTTGTGGGAATGAACCACGTGCGGGTGGTCGGGCGGTGCAGACGATTTGGAGTTGCGTCCACCGCTCCGCATCCCAGCTGGAATTGCGTTCATCCCGCCCATCCCCAGAGCATCCATCCCGTCCATCCCCAGAGCATCCATCCCGTCCCGGGGCGGTGCGGGGCAGCGATGCCCGGCGGGAGGAGCCTGGATGGAGCGGGAGGAGCCTGGATGGAGCGGGAGGAGCCTGGATGGAGCAGGAGGAGCCTGGATGGAGCGGGAGGAGCCTGGATGGAGCGGGAGGAGCCTGGATGGAGCGGGAGGAGCCTGGATGGAGCGGGAGGAGCCGGGATCGAGCGCAGGCGCCGCACCGGCATCCGCTGCTCCGGCCCGGCCTGGCGGTGAGAGCGGCGGGGGAGCCCGGCTTGGGGGCCGGGGAGCCCGGGGTCACGGGGAGACCGGGGAGGGTGGGAGGGAGCTCGGGGGATGCGGGGATGGAGGTGATGGGGGGCAGGAGTGGGGTGATAGGGGTGCAGGAGTGGGGTGATGGGGGCAGGAGGCAGCACGTGGCGCTGGGGAAAGGTTTGGGGGGCAGCGGTGGGTGCTGGGGGGCACGGGGAGGGCAGGGGTGCACGGGTGTGTCGGGGGTGCAAAGGGTGTACAGGGTGCGGGATGGGGCGCTGGGGTTGCCGGGGAAAGGAGAGGGTGGGGAGGCGCACAGGGAAGGGGGGTGATGAGGTGAACAGAGCAGGGTGGGGTGCTGGGGGTGCACAGAGGTTTCGGGGGGCGCACGGGGCGAGTGGGAGCCGGGGCTGCAGGTGGGTTAATGCGGCGGCACAGAGGGTGGGTGAGGTTTGCAGGGGGTGCTGGACACCCCTGGGGGTGGCCGCCCCTCCACGTGTCCCTGTCCCTCCCCAGGACTCCCCCCCCTTCCCCACCGCTGCCACGCTGGCGCTGCGCCCCATGGACGGCGTGTTCCTGTCCCCCAACGAGGATGAGTTCGTGGGCAGGATCTCCGAGGAGCTGGAGCACTTCATGGAGCAGGGGCAGCACCACAGGTGTGACCTGACCCGCTCCCTGCCACCCTCTGCCTGCCCTGGGCGAGGGCGGGTGTCCCTCCGGGGGCAGTGGCTCTTGTCTGGTGTTTTGCATTTTCTGGGGTGAAAGCAGCAGCGTTTGCAGCCTGGCTCCAAGGTTTATCTGGCTCAGAACTTCCCTGAGGGCCGGGGATCAGTGTAGGATCTGCCATGTGCCCTCCTCCTTCGGGCAGAGCCCTTGTGGATGCTGGTGGCTCTTACACCCTGGGTTTACCCCGACCTACCCCCTGATCCAGCGACCTTTGAAGCCCTTGAGATGGCCTGAAAAAGAGGCTGCTGGGCAGGAGCAGGGGTGGGATTGCTCAGTTCAGCTCCCTGCCAGCTTGTGCTGACCTTTAAATATTTGTTTCGCTGCCTTTGTTTTAGAAAGCTTTGGCAGGGAAATCACCTGTGCAGTTGTCAAGCACCCGGGGAGGGGACTGAAATGGGAGCAGACCTTCTGAATGCAGCGAAATGGAGTTGTTGATTTATCCATTCGTGTTTTATTTTACTGCTGGTTTTTGGAGCACACTCGGACTGGGAGGAATGGGAACCCAACCCTAACCAGCCTTTCCCCCATGGATACAGGCAGGAAGGAGAGTCTCAGGCCAAGACCTGGGATCAGGCATTCCCAGCTGCCCTGTGCTGCATGCAAATAAAGTGTGTCTGGCTCCATATCTGGGAAAGAGAAGGGATTTGGGCTCTTTTCATAAAGTCCTGTGTGGCTTTTGGGCTCCACTTTAAGCCCTGGACTGGGAGTAACCTGGGAGAGAGGTGGTTGCGTTTTTGCTTCATCCCCATCCTTTTCCTTCCTGCAAGTTGCTGATGCCCTGATGCCTCTCTCTCTGTTTCCAGAGTGCTCCTGTTCCCCCCTCTGTCCAGTCGCCTCAGGTACCTGATCCATCGGACCGTGGAGAACATGGATTTGCTGAGCAGCTTCTCGGTGGGGGAAGGCTGGAGGAGGAGGACGGTCATCTGCCACTCGGCCGTGAGGTTGGTGGGGTTGGTGTGTGGTGGTGCTTTGCCTGTGGCTGGTGGGGGCTTTGTGGGAGCTTACAGGAATCCTGGAATGGTTTGGCTTGGAAGGGACCTTAAAGCTCATCCAGTTCCATTGAGAGGGGCTGAGTTTCTGTGGTGTTTCTCCACGGGGTCTCCTTTACCAGCAGCATCTTCCAGTCCTTCAGGAACGAGCGGAATTTTTCCCTGCGTGCTGACTTCCCATGTTGGATTAGCTGCTTTTCCCTCCTTTTCCCTGGGTGTTGTTTCGTGTTCCCCTGCTCACATCTCACCTTTCCCTTTGCTCCCAGGCTGCCCAACGAGACCAGTGACCAAAAACCTGGCCCCAACCCGCCCCGGCCCCACCGCCCTGCGCAGCCCTGGGGCCGGGGGGGCCGAGGGACACGGCCCAGGCACGGAGGGGACATCCATGGGGACACCTCCCGGGCCTGTGTGGGCTCTGGCAGGATCAGCAGGCCCCCCAGGAGGAAGCCAGACAAAGCCCTGTACGTGCCCAAGGTGGTGAGGAAGAAGGCGAACTGGAGGGAGCGGGACAGCCCCGGAGAAGCCGGAGGGGATGCGGCGCAAGGAGATGAAATCTGCCCCAAAAATTCCACGGGGGACGCCCGGGAGGAGCTGGGCAAGTCTGAAGAAGGCCCAGGGGGTGTCCCTGTGGCTCTAGGAAAGCAGCAGGAGCCCGGTGAAGGAAGTTTTTCGGGAAAAACTGACGCTGGCTCCCACGCTGAGCGTCCTCCGTGCGGTACAAACGTCCCGTCCTTAGGGAATAGCAACGATTCCTCTGAGCAGGAAAGTCGGGATAAAGACTGCTCTGATTCCTTTTCTTCTGGGCACAGTAAACACCCACCTTCCAAGGCAGAAGAGCAGGATCTGAGGCATGACAACGCTGTTGTAGCAGAAGGCAGCGAATTCCTGCGAGACGGAGACCAAACCAGCCGGGATTCCGGAGTGCTGGAGAGCGGGAAAACCTCCCTGCCGGAAAGTCGTGGTGGCAGCTGCTGCCCAGACCCGGCTGTGGCCGAGTCCCTGGGGCTGGAAAACCAAGATAAGGGCAATGCTGCTGCTGCCAAGAGCCTGGAGAGCAGCGGGAACCTGTCAGCACCCCAAGAGCAGGGCAAGGTCCCCGCGAATTTCTCCGCGCCGGAAAGCCAAGATCGGGAGCGCCCAAGTGCCACCCAGAACCCCCTGGAAGCCCGGAGGGAGCCTCTGGCTGCAGCTGGGCTGGTGGCTGGTGGTGACCCATCAGCTCCTGAGGAGCAGGGGGAGCACTGGGGGGATGCTGGCGGTGGGAAGGTGCCCCTGGAGGAGGAGGAGGAGGAGGAAGAGCCCTCGGATGTGTCCGATGCGCTGTGGAGGGAGCTGCGCTTGTCTGCGGGTGACAGAGAGGAGAGGGGGAGCAGGCAGGAGCAGAGCAGCCTGGAGGACGACTGCACTGCAGAGCTCATGGCAGAGGTAGAGTTTGGCGTGGGGAGAGACAAATTTTGGTGGGGTAAAAACTGGCGGCCGAGGGGAAGGAGGGTCCCTGTGCTGGGCCTGCCCTGGTGCAGAGAGCGCTTTGCAGCGGCCGAGCTGAGGGCTGGGTTTTGAAGGGAAACCCTGCGGATTGTTTGGTAATTATTCCTCCTGAATCTCCTCAGATTGTGGGGAATTTGACGGTGAAGGACATCAGCATCGAGAGGATCAGCGTGGACTATTCCAGCTACGGCAAGGCCCAGGTCAGCGAGGGGGATTTTGGCCACGTCACCGAGATCTACGACTTCCCCTCATCCCTGAAAACGGAGGATCTGATGGAAATGTTCTCAGATTTCCAGTGAGTACCTCCCTGAGCTCAGCAGGAGCAGCATCCACACCAGAATCTGCAACAGAACTGGATTAACCCCGAGTTTTAGTTTCACCTTGGTGTCTTACACCATTTCTGAGCCTCAGAGGAGGCTCTGGTAGCTCCAGGGGGCTGATGGGTTCTATTGTGGGTTCATTTTTCTATATATTAATTAATATTCCATTTCCTTTCAGCGAGAGTGGTTTCAAAATCCAGTGGGTGGATGACACACACGCCCTGGGAATCTTCTCCAGCCCTTCCACAGGTATATTTGTGGGTGGTTCGTGATTTTCCTTCCTGTTCTCTTCCAGCTGGGAAGGATTTTGAGGCTCGGGAAGCTGGAATTGCTGTGGTGGGGTGTGGAAACTCTGCCTTGCCAGAGCAGCAGGTTTTTAAGTGGCTTGGATGATAATCAGGACACCTCTTAATGTGGTGCTGCTCTCCTGGAAATTGATGGTTTTCCATCGTGTTTTTCCTCCTGTAACTGGACAAAATTCCTGCAAACACTCAGTGACCTCCCAGGGACCTCAGGAGTGCGGTGGCACCAAAATTTTGGGAAAACTGACCTTTTTTTAGGGACAAACACCCCACCCTGAGGCCCTGGAGAGGTTCCCATCTGGCACACGTGGATCCCAACAGCCCCTGGGCTTTTGCTGGGATTTATCTGCTAACGACAAAGGCCATTTTTTAAAGAGCACATTGATATTTTCTTGGGTGGGTTTTTTTATGCCCTGATGTTTTGATGGTTCTTTGCAGCATCTCAAGCCCTGGGCCGACGTTACCCCTGTTTAAAGATCCGACCCCTGATCCACGCCTCGAAACAGTCCAAGCTCAGGGCCCTGCAGCGACCAAGTAAGACAAGGTTTAAAAATTCAGATTATTTATTTTTATAGCTAAGATTGGTGTGTTCTTTTTAATGTTTCTGTGCTAATTTTTGTGTAATTTTTGAAATTATTTTGAAATTATTATTATTATTTTTAAATGGTGTTTTTTGGTTATATTTTTATGGGGGTTTTAAATTTACCTTTTTTTACATTATTTACTTTTTTTTTTAAATCTTTTTTTACTTTTCACTTTTTTCCTTTTCTCTTTTTTTTTCCTTTGTTTTCCTTTATTTTGCTTTACTTTACTTATTTTATTTCATTTTGCTTTATTATACTTCATTTTACTTTATTTTACATTTTTACTTTGCTTTTCTTTATTAATTTTTCACCTTTTTCTTTTTTTTTCCCTTTTCTTTTTCCCTTCCCCCCTTTTTTCCTCACTTCATGTTTTTTATGTTACCTTTTTCCATTCTGAAATGGAATTATTATTATTAATTATTAATACTATTATTAATTTTATATTTACTATATTTAATATTACACTTAATTTAATATCATATTCCTTGCTTTCCCAGCCATGTATAAAACAAATGCTCCAAGATGACAAGTTAAATGAGGAATTACATATTTTGTCTGATGCTTTTTTTAGGGCTTTATTGGCATTGCAGGGTTGCATTTTGCTGATATTCAGATTTAATGGGGGTTTTTTGTGTGTGTGTTATTTGCTGATTTGTGGGAATTTTGAAGGCAAATGCCATAAACATTCCCAGGAAGTTTCTCTTCCCTCTTCCCTGCCCAGCTGAGACAAAAACCCAACGCCAGTTCCACCTCGTGGTTGGAATCATTTTATTCAGCATCAGGTGAAGGAGACCAAAAACTGGTTAAGCTGAGCCATTAACATTGTTTTACTGATTTTTCATCGCCTCAAAAATCAGATTGTGATCACTTCTATTTGCAGTAAAGAAATGCCAGGAACTTTTTTTTTTTTTTTAGCAGCAGAGACTTGGAATGTCCAACTCCCGTTATTTGCCAGTTCACTGCAGTGGAAACAATTCCAATATTAATGCTCTAAAGGGACACTGTCACAGCCATGAGTTCCTGAGCTTTTAAGAACTTCTGGATTCGAAGGACACGTCCAAAAAATGAGATTTCTCTGCAGTCTCCCCTTCATTGTGAATCAGGTTATAAACTCCTCCCGGGGAACGTCAGAACTTCATGTCTGCATTTGGTTTAAATTGAATTTTGCCACGTGGAAATTTGGATTTTAATTGGCTGACAGTGTCTCTTTATTTGTTTTGTTTTGTTTTTTAAACTTTATTAACAAAACTTCTGAAAAAAAAAACAACAAACAAAGAACCAAGCCAAGCCCCCCTTGCTGTCTGGGTAATAACTCTGCAAACAGTTGCTGATAAAGCTTTAGGTGATTCCCAAATCCCAGATTCTTGGGTCAAATTTTGGAATATTCATCCCTTCCATTCTGTAACAAGTCAGGTGCCTAGCAAAAAATGGAGGTCCCAAAGCACCTGGAATACCGAGATATTATTTAAAATGCAGATTATTTTTTTTTCCCCCTGGTTTCTGAGGATATAGAAAGGACTCTTCCTTTTTTTCCTGGTTTCTGAGGATTTAGGAAGGATTCTTCCTTTTTTTCCTGGTTTCTGAGGATTTAGAAGGGACTCTTCCTTTCTTCCTGGTTTCTGAGGATTTAGGCTGCTGGCTTTGATGAGTTAAAATGAAAATCAAACTCTGCTTTGATTACTTCAAATCAAAATCAAACTTTGCTGTGCAGGCATAAACTGAGAGGAACTTTGCCAGGAATGGTTTGGGAAGCAGTTCCCCGGAGGAGAAAGTGGGAGGAACGATTTTCTCCCTCAGAAAAGACCTTTCCAAAGGAAAACAGGGAGTTAGTTAGATGGATTGTGTGGAGGAGCTGAGGAAAGAGGGTCAGCCCTGAGCTGATCCTTTTTCTCCCCCTGTTTTTCCCAGAACTCCTCCAGCTCGGGAAGGAGCGGCCCCAGACGGACACGGCCGTGGCCAGGAGACTCGTGTCCCACGCCCTGGGCTGGAGGCACAGGCAGCAGGAAGGCTCAGGAACTGAAGTTTTCCAGCAGGAAGCATCGGACCAGCAGGAATAAAAACCACCTCTTGGTCCCCCCCACCCCTCAACCCCCCCACCCAAAAAAATGCTGTAAAGATGAGCATGGCTGTGCTGTTCAACTGCATGTGGAGCAGGGAGTTGGGGGGGTTCTCCTTGGGGTCAGCACCATCCTCCTAAAGTTGGGAAGGAGAGGGGGGAGTTTAGTGTTAATGGGATTTTTTGAGCCCCCTCCTCGGGGGACTCTTTGTTTTCCAAGCACCAGTTACTCCTCCCTGAGGCTTTCCAGAAAAGCCTCCTCTGGGTTTGGGAGAGAAAAAAAAAAAAAAAAATTAAAAATTAGTCATTAAGAGTAAGGGAATTGTGTTTGGTTGGCCAAAATTCCAGCTGGGGTTGGCGGGGGGGAGAAGAACAGGAGTTACAAAAGCTGTTCAGTGTTTACCTGGTTGTGATGTTATTGTTGAGATATCCCATAAAACTGCCAGGCAGTGGATGCAAGTGAGTTTAGGGGGTGGGGTTTTTTTTTCCCCCCCATATTTACACAGCCTGAAGTTGCCCTGTTAAGCAAGGAGAAGTTGTCGTGTGCTCCTTAGGAAAAGGAAAAAGCAGAACTTGCCTGTTCTGGTGGGCCCAGAGCCCTTTTTTTTTTTGAGGGGCTTAAAAACCCTTTGGTGTGGCAGCAGAGCATCCCCCACATCCCAGGCTCTGCTTGTGCTACAGATCTGGAGGGAAAAGATGGAATTTTTTCAACCCAGAGGAGGCTAAAAAAAAAACCTTTGCCAGGCCGTGAATGGCATTGGCAAGATAATTCTGCGTCCTTTAAGCCTCACAACACCCCTGTGAGGTAGGTTTTGGGGAGCACAAGTTTGGCAGCCACTTCTAATCCCCTGTGGATTAATCCCCTGGTCAGCTCTAAAATTCAGCTGCTTGTAAAAGTCTTCCATACAGAGGGAAAAAAAGATAAAAAAAACCCAACACTAAAGTACCAGGAATTGTGAGCTTTCATGGAGTAGAAATCCACAAATGGCATTTAAACCATTTTTTGGGGGGTTCTTTTTGGTTTTGTGTATTTTTTCTGGGTCAAAACGTTTTTATTCAAGTAGCTGTGCCTGGAGATGTGCAGCAGGGTGTGTCCTCAAACAAACAGAGGAGCACGGGGTAGCACCATGAATTTCCAGTGGGGCTGGGACAGATCCCTGGGGAGGAGAGCCAGGAATTCCCTCTGTAAGGAAAGGCCAGGAGACAATGCCTTAAAACTTAATTCATCCTTTGAGGAAAAGAGAGGGAGCATCCAGCCTGGGAGGCGAGAGCTGGGTGGGTGTGGAATTTTGGGGTGGGAATTCACAGTCCAGCGGGAATCTGCGAAGTTCTGGGTGTCCGAGGCGGGGGGAGCTCCAGGGAGCTCCGATGGTCTGTTGGAATCTGTTCTGCTCCGCTTCCAGAGGACTGTTGGACCCGAGAGTTTCACTGCAGTATTAAATTATGCTTTACACTGTTCTGCTTGGAAAAAAAAAAAAGCTGCTCCTTTTTGCTTTTTTGTTTTGTTTGGTTTTTTTTTTACCTTTCCTTGTATTTCTTTGCTGAGCTGGAGTCGTGGCAGTGCCGAGGAGGAGGAGGAGGGAGGAGAAGAAACAGCAGCACAAACGTTTGGGGCGTCCAAGCTGGAGTCGAAAAGGGGCTTTTAAGATACCAAATGAATGCCTTGGAGAACGAAGGGTGGAGCCACTTTTTGGGGTCGTTGGCACCCTAAAAGGTGGCTGTGAGGGAGGGAGGAACCTTTTAGGGGGAGGTTGGAAGGGGGAAGGCACGGTTGGATGCTCCGGGGCTGGAGGAGGTGAGAGCACCGAAGGCGGGGAGCGAAGGCGGCTGCAGGAGATAATTCACCTGGAGATTCGGAGCCGGGCTGTTTCCTTGATTTCCTGGTGGTGCAGTGGTTTGGGAAGGAGCGAGGCAGGGGTCCTGCCTTCTTTAAATAGTGGGGAGGGGGGGGTCCCATCACCGGGTGGACACTTTGTTATTTGTGAGTCCGCTGAAGTGGTCGAACTTCTGCTCCGTTTCGTCGCTGAAGGAACCACCTGAAAGGGCACAAAGGGGGCACAAAGGGGGCACAGGGTGAGCAGGGCGGGCAGAGGAGGCTCAGGGCACAAAGAGCTGCGAGAAGGAGGGCTCGAAGATTCTCCTGGGATAATTAAATTTGAATTTTAATTGAGTTTTACCATGACCAAAACAGCCAGGAGGCCCCAGGTTTAGTCCTTGATGGGTTCGGAAGATTAAAGCTGCGAATTAGCCAAATTCACTGCTTGGTTGGTTAAAAAATAAAGCTGTTAAAAGTATTTAGAAATGTTAAAAAAAAAAAGAAAATTTAAGCCATTTATAAAATTAAAAAAAAATTAAAGCATTTATAAAAATTAAAATTATAAAATTTAAAACATTTCTAAAATTTAAAAACCATTTCTAGAATTTTTTTTAATTATCACATTTCTAAAATTTAAAAAAAAAATCCCACCAAAAATAAAACGTTTATAAAAATTAAAAATACAAGATTTAAAACATTGATAAAATTAAAAAGAAAGAATTTATAAATTTTATTTTAAAAAATAGAAACGTTTATAAAAATCTTAAAAGTTAAAATTTAAACATAACATTAAAAAAAACCCCAAAATTTATAAAATATTTATAAAAGTTCAAAAATACGAAATTTAAAACACTGCTAAAATTCTAAAAAATAAAATTAAACATTTCTAAAAATAAAAAAAAATATTTTTATATACATATATATATTTAAATAATTTTTTAAACATAAATATATATATATATATACACAAAATTTAAAGCATTTATAAAGTACCCAAGAGGTTTCAGTGCTGGACCTACACAGGCACTTGGATTGCACTGGAGCTTTCCTGGGGAGGGAAAACCACTCATTTCTTGGTGCAGCTGGAGCATTTTCCTCCTGTTAGGCCGGAGCTGAGGGGTTTAAGCCTGGCCCGAGGCCGGCAGGGTCTCACCTATGTGGCAGTTGTACATCCAGATGCGCTGCCCGTCGTAGCGGCTCCGGCACTTCATCACGTTGTTGGAATAATCCGACTCGGCAACCTCGTAGTTGGGGTTGATGACGACCTGGGGAGGGCGGGGAGAGAGGCCCGGGGTGGGGTTGTTTAAAAAAGGTGGGCTGGAGGGGACGTGGAGTCAGCTGTTTTGTTACAACTTGAGGTTTTTATAATGGAAAAAAAATAATTCGCGGTGCGGGGAAATGGGAACTGCTTGGTTAAAGCCAGGTCAGACACGGAATCCAGGATGGTTTGGGCTGGAAGGCGCCTTAAAATCATCCAGTTCTACCTCCTTGCCGTGGGCAGGGACACCTTCCACCAGCCCAGGTTGCTCCAGCCTGGCCTTGGACACTCCCAGGGATGGGGCAGCCACAGCTCCTCTGGGAATTCCATCCCAGCCCCTCCCCACCCTCACAGAAGCAGGAGGTGTACAAATAAACATCTTATCAGAACGGGTGAGATAACAGCAACAGGAGTGCTCTCCAGCCCTCTTTTCCTTACCTGGAAAAGGTAATCTCCGGGTGGGACGTCGGTGATGTCGATCCACTGGCAGTCGATGTCGTGCCGATACACGTCCCAGCAGCCCACCGTGATCCCCTGCTCCCCAAAGTTGGCACACTCGTACTGCTTCTGCACGTCTGAGGGGGGAAAAGTGCCAGGAGCCAAGTGTTACACCCACGGCAAGGCGGGCTGGGTGATTCCCTCAGGAATTCCCAGGTGTTCCCAGCTCCCAGGGACAGCGGTGCAGTGTTTGGGATGAGATGTAGCACAAAAGAGGGAGCTGCCACCTCCCAACCTCGTCACCTGGAGGCACATTTTGGAATTCCTCCATTGGCAGGGATCCACCCCGTCAGGGCTGGTTTCTGGCTCCTGCCAGGCCTCCATTTAGCCCTTTGGAAGCCCTGAGGGACAGGAATGAATTCCCAGCTCCCAGGGCTCTGGCACACACACCTGCTTCACATTCCGTGTCTTCCAGGCAGAAGCTGGCTTTGTGTCCCTCGGCCACCTTGGTCCCGTTGAGGTTCAGGAGATCGTAGTGGGTGAAAACCTCCATGCTGTGGTAGTGCCTGAGGGTCATAGACAGGGAGAATTATCCTTATAAATGGAATTAAACAGAAATTCAAGGGCAAACAGCCCCTTAGTTCCCAGGTTGAAAGGGCTGCAGGAGGTGGAGTGGGAGAAACCACAGCCAGGGAATATTCCCCTGGGGATAATCCTGTCTGGCACCATCACCCATCCCTGCTTTCATGCTGGCTCCTGGGTATTTATTTACATGGAATTATTTATTTACATGGAATCACGGAATGGTTTGGGTTGGCAGAGACCTTAAAACTCATCCCATTCCACCCCCATCCCTTGGAATGGGATGAGACCATTCCACCTTCCACTATTCCAGGCTGCTCCAAGCCCCAGCCATCCTGGCCTTGAACTCCTAAAAGTGCTAAAGCTGTTCCAGGGAAAAGCCTTGCCCCAGTTTTTTTGGGATCACAGTGTTTTATAATGGCATGAAGGTTAAAAAAAAACCACAAAACACCCCCAAGTCATCACCTGTAGCAGCCCTGGCATTTACCAGAAGAAGGAATATTCCATGCAGAGCTGGGTGTGCCCAGCCCAGCCCTTGCCTGCTCTCCTTTAGTAATTGTTCAAGAAGCAGAAGGTGAATTAATTGGCAGAAAACAAAGATGGGCCCAGTTTGCCTCGCTGGGCTCCCACAGGATGTTTCCTCAATTTAAACTGGGGACATTCCAGCACTGCTGGGCACAGCAAAAAGCGAGGAGAGAGCCCACTGTGGATCCCTGACCACCAAAGTTGGTCCCCAGCGGGGTTTGGGTGATGCTGGACTTCAGGAACATTTTGGATGCCCCCACAGCAGGTTCAGCGAAAATGAGGGCTGTGCCTCAGGCCAGGTGGAGTCCATGGGGTTTGGAGAGCAGGAATTGGGCAGAAATACCTGCCTGAAGCCCAGCTGTGGGCTCCACGTGGCCAGGGCTGGGCACACAAGTGTGGTCATGCTGATGCAACACCTGGATTGGATCCCAGTCCTGGAATCAGGAGCATGAGCACGTTGGGAAGAGGAGAACAACTGGGGGTGCTGAGACAGCCCTAATTCAGAGCCAATTGCTTAAGAATTAAAACAAAAAAAATTAATAAAAGAAGAGGGGAAAAATGTGCATAAATCCTCTCCTTTCCAGCTGTAAAAAATAATCAAGGCTTAAAAACTTCCCATCACCATAATTGCACGTGGATTTACAGATAAAGGAGAAGCAAGGAAGGAGAGGGAGGAAGTTTTTCCTTTTTACCTCATCCTGCCTTAAAAAAAAAAAAAAAAAAAATCCATAAATTCCCATCTGCCAGAAGTGAATCACTTCTCACTCCCTGCTCCGGGTCTTTCCCATTTTTGTCCTGCTTCCACATCCAAAGGCACCCAAACAGGAGCTCGCAGTGCTGGAGGGAGGCACTGGCAAAGCAGAGGGGCAGGGCTGTTGATTTGGGGCAGGTTTGGCTGCCTCTGCTCAGAGCTGGAGGCTCCCAAGTCTGACTCAGATTCTGAACTATGTCTGAACCACTCAGAGGGGTGTTTACATTCTGCTGTTTACAGGCTGGAAAGATTGAAGAGGAATTGAGTTCATCCTCCTCCTCCTCCTCCACCTAAACAGGATCCAGTTTGGAAGCACAGACGGCTCGTGGCCTTTCCCTCGTCCTTTCCCAGTCTCACCTCACTTCCAAGGGCTCTCCCAGATTGCTCCAAGCGCCCCCTCATCCCCTCACTCAGCTCTTTATAAAGACTACAAGGAACTCTCAGATTGGAGAATTTTCTTACACCAGGGGCAGGACAAGAGCTGTGCACTGAGTTGCTTCGCTCCCTTTTACCCCCAAGGAGAGAAAAATCAACCCTGCACCAGCCAGAGTTGAGGGGGATTCAGAGATCACGGAATCCCAGCCTGATCTGGGTGGGAAGGGACCTTAAAGCTCATTTTGTTCCACCCCTGCCATGGGCAGGGACACCTCCCACTGGACCAGGTTGCTCCAAGCCCTGTCCAACCTGGCCCTGGACACTTCCAGGGACGTGGCACGGACACAGTGCCCTTGCCCAGACGCCTCTCCCAAGGAAAGCTCCACACTTGCCTCGTTTATACCCCACTTCTCAACTCTAATCCCGACTGGTGGCTTCTCTGCTCTCAGAGGGTGACAGTGACCCCCCCACACCCCACCCCACACCTCCAGCACCTCCTCCCCGTGCTCCCACGGCAGGACAGCGCCCTGGGCAGCAGAAAGGGGTGGGGGGAGGCCCCATCTGAGGCACCCACCGGTGGCAGTCGTGCCAGACCCAGGCGTGGCGGCCGTTCTTGGGGCGGAAGTCGGACTGGCCGTTGT